CATCTGTGAACTGCACATAGATTTCTCAGACTTATCTGGATGATCTTCATCTAGTTTTATGCAAAGAAGACCAGTCAATCCCAATTTTGCAGCACAAAAAAATACAGTAAACACAGCTAGTTTTTGTACTGCATAGTAAATTGTTTTGCTTCTTATTTGGTTTTCATTCAGTAGTTGTCAGTCTTATTAAGTGGGTAGTTTCCATCTAAGTGTATTAGATATAACTCATTTTGTGTTCTCCATTCTGTTGGATATCTTCATTTTGGCCTTGAACTACTGGCAAAGTTCAATATTGCAATAACATTTTATCACAGAATCAGTACCACTTTAATCATATTTAAAGCAGTATATTACCTGAAAATTCAGGCCAAACTCCAACTGATTGTGACATGAACATAAATGCCTGGAAAGATAAACATAATATAATGCTGCATACAAATTCTTTTAACAGAAATGTAAACTGAGTCTTCAGCACTGTTTAAAAAAAAAAAAAGCTAAAACTCACCTATACAAATTCTGTTTGCAATATGTTCTGAAAACATCCATATTGTACGCTCAAGAAGATAACAAGAGTGGCTACTTTTCAGACCTGTGGGCCCTTCATCTAAACTGATTTACCTGTCAGACACATTCAGGAGTTCAAACATCAAAAGAGAAACCATTTAATAAACTCTTTCACAATAAGTAGTTGCTGACATAGGTCAAACGGGTAGTAGCAAATCCTTTAAAGAGCAACAGAAATATCTTCAACACATGGGTGTATGTTCTCATGACTTCTGACCCACATGAAATGAAGGAATGGGATTGTTTACCATATTGCAGAATCAGTATTTGGTTACCAGTTTTATACTTGAATGAGTGTACCATTCAGACAAAGATATGGACAGGTTGCTTCCAAAAGAATTTTATGAATTAAGGTGGCTTTTTGAAAAAGAGCTGTTTCTTGCTTCTCTCCATAGCAGCAGTGTGCAAACAGCATCAGAAGCCATTTATTTGTGTGCATCGTTTCCACAGAACATCCATGGCCAGAAGCTAAGAAGCTGATGACTAACTTCTATATTACAATTCTGATGATGCTAGTCATGTCGGTATAGACTTCTGAAAGAGACACCAGTATAATTTGGAGACTGTTTCCTTTGTATTAAGAACTATACTTTATTCAAACAATTGCTTAGACAATTAGGATTAAACTGCTAAGGCAAACAGTGTCTAATCCAGCTGGAGACAGCTTTTTGAATAGCAGAAAGTTCCCTACAGTGAAGAATGATAGACGAGGAAAAATTTTAAAAGAAATTTCAGGGTCCCATAAACAATTCTGAGAACCTGAACAATAGGTAGATATTGCATCTGTACTGCAAAGGATGAAGCAGGAATTAGACCTAATGCTTTTTTAGTTATTATCTGTCTAATGATCAGTATTTCTATAATACTGTATATGCAAAAGGGCCAAACTATACCCTTGCATTTTCTGTCTATGCTACACCTAAGCAAATGCTGAGAAATTAGGAAGTGAATAGGACCTTTGAATGTTGTTGAACTGTGATTCTGATCTGAACAAAAAAACCTTGTGGCAGCTCACATCAAAGAGTATAGAATAGGCAATGTCCTAAAATAGCAGAACATTCAAATGTTAGGCATAAAAGACACTGAGTTCCCCTTTCAATTATGTTGTCACCTAGACTTTTGAGGTCATTTGATCCTACTTGAAATGCAATAGAATTCAAATACAAAGATACAGAATTGCTTTTAAACAATACAGCTGAACACTTGAAACATTTAATGACTATACATTCCTCAGATCTCTTCCATTCCACCTTCTTACCCCTCAAGAAAACAATCCCAAACCAAAAAAAAAAAAAAAAAAAAGCCCTAAGCAAACTCCAACCACACTGCCAGGCTAAACTAAGAGCAGCTTAAACAACAAGAGAACAGAAGCTACAATTTCGTTTACATCAGTTGATTGTGGACAATGAAAGCTAATGTATAGTATACAGAAACTATGCTATAAAGATCTATTATAGACTTTAGCAAAAGATGTGAAACATTAGACTTGCTGATGAACTTGGATACAGTCTTGTAACCATTCTAAAGAACCTGCTTGGAAAGCAAAATTGGTCTGTTCATTCAATCTGCTCCTCCCCCATTGCTGGTTGTTGTTTTTTTCTTCCTTAGTCTTCATTTGTCTTCTGGTATGAGCCAAGAGGACCTATTCTTTGCCCTCCAAATTCAGGTTGCTCCTTTTTCAGAGGGTATCTTAATGCCAATTAGGTCATTGATTTCATTTTTCATTAGCCAGTGAGCTAATAGTTATTTAGGTTTGGGACTGCCCTCCTTTCAGTACTAGAAAATAATCTGTGTTCTTTTGTGTTTCTTTGCTAGTCAGCAGAGTTGCTCTTTTTCTGCTAAATCTTGCCAGTGCCCCTTCTTCTGTGTGTGTTGCATCCACCCCCTCACAATTATATTTTTGTCTCTGAGACTGCCTTGCAACTTAGAGTACTCACTGTTGCATTTTACAAAAAATTTTTATAAACTTCTAGCTGGTGAGCCTGGCAGTGTTGTCCCTATCTCCTCCAAATCTATTTTTGTTTATAATACTGCATTCACTCATAATTTCAGTAGATATGCCTGCAGTTGTCAGTCTTTGTAGCAGGATTTCAAAATGTAGATCCATACTGGTAAGACAAATAACCTCGTTTATAGTCAGTGAAAACTGTAATCATTGTAAAGAACACCATGAAATTCGGTAACAGGTAAGAGCTGTCTTACTTGTAGTCATCGGCCTTAAGGTGCTACTGTCTCTGACTCCTTCCTTGAATTTAGCATTTATAGCTCTATGAGGAAAAAAAATATCTCCAAGTACTTTAAGGAATGACTGGTTGCAAAAGCTTTCTGCCAGGTTTGTATTTGATTAGAGATATATATACTTGCTGTAACACAGTTTTTTGCAGAGTGTGTGCAAGTTTGTGGAAGCGACAATAAAAATAATGAGCACAATGCTCTGCCTGAATAAGCACAGTGCTAATGTGGCTACAAAGCTTCCGGTAGGTATGCAAGTTCATTACAAGGTCAATCCCATGATGTATCTGTAAAGATTGCAGAAGAATAAAACATAGGGAATATGGCTCCATATGGATGACTCATCAGGTTTAATAGCATCATTGTCACTTGAAGATAGTCTCAGGAAAACAGTAAATGTTCAAATGTTCCTGGTCTACCAAGTACTATTGGTAATCCTGTCAATCACCACTAAAGCCTTGTTTCCAGACCTGCTCACACTAATTTAGAAATATCCTCCTCCCAAGAAGGAAAAGAATTTGTACCTACATTTTTCCAGTTTATTCCAAGAATGGCAATAGACAATGTAACTGTTAATTCCTCAGCAATGGAGAATTTCTTTTCCCTTGCTTCTTTGTGCTACTCCCAGCAGACTATCACGTCAAGAAGTCCATTTTAACTCTTTCCAAGCTGCCATCACATGCCAGTTCTCCTTTATGATGCTGCCTTCTCTTCTGCCTCGACTCTAATCTGCATGGTTCTGACCTTTTTTCATAGCTTTATTCCTCCTGTTACAATTACACCACCTTTCACTTTTCAAGTAAAATGGTACTCACCTAAAATTAAAATGGATTACACCATTTATAACTATTTTGCAACAATACTGAAGTTATGTCAACAACTGTGAAAACAAGCAACAGTTTTCACAGTATTAGTAGGTTTATTCCAGTAACATAAGATAGGAAGGTGCTTCCCTAACTAGCTTCCTGTAACAAAATTTTTGTGGGGTTTGTAAAATATTCTCTTTTTCTTGCATCTATCACACTTGGGATATACCCAGTTTTGCAGTTTTAAGTTTTAAAAGGGGATTATGCTCCTTTTGAATACCTCACCCGATGTGCTTGAAAGCACAAGGTAAAGAAATTCTGTGCCAAGTGACACTTTCTTTAGCTATACCATCATCTTAGCTCAACTATAGAAAAGTTATCATTTATTTATATTCATGAAAATCATGAGACTTCCACATCCTGCTTACTTCTTTCATATTATAAGCTGGGTAATTTATGTTACCACTGTTCCTTGCCCAGAGAATGAATTTAAGACTAAGTGACATGGCAACTGGTAGATAGTTTAAATATTTTGATTCTACTCATGCCTAGGTATGTGTTTTTGCATAATTACACAACTGATGATTTACTGAGCTATATTATGGATTCCGTCAGGGTTTCCTCTACCACAGACCTAAGCACACAGTGCCTTTTGGCTGAATTACAGTGTGACAAAAGCCATGCATAGAGAACCATAGTGTGCTTTCCAAACAAGCATCTGCAGTAGGCTTTATTTCTGTGTATAAATAAATGTTAGGGGTGCAAAACAATATGGTAGGTATTTCACAATTCCCATTCATCAATGTTTCTGAACAACTTTTAATTTACCAAGACAGTAAATACTATATGCAAGACCACTGCATGGTTCTGTTATTGTTAAATTTATTGTTGAAAATAGACGAGTCTGCTGTGAAATTTGGATTTTCTCTTGGCAATACACTTGAAGAAAATAGTAATGCTAAGAGCAAGCATTCAAACATACAAAAGTATTTCAAAAATATATAGCTCACAGGATACTTTAAAAACCTAATATTTTCATTTATTTATTTATTTATTTAAGAAAAAGCAAATAAGCCACTATGAATATCAAGAGTCTACTTTTTTTGGAAAGTGCAGTTCACATGACTAACAGCTGGGTCTCTGACAGGGAAAAAACAGTCGCATGAGTAAAACTGAAACTTGGTAATTCTCATGAACAAAAGTAAGAAGTGGGCAACCTTGAACTGCCAAGTATTTAAAAATCCCCAGGGAAATTAGAGAACCTCTAAAAAGCCCTGCAGCCGCAAGAGCATCCTCCCTCTCTCCCCTTGCAGCTTTGCAAGAAACAAAAGAGGAGCTTGCTGAGAATATAAAGTTGTCTTTTTTTTTTTCCCACATCATAGTAGTATTTTTGCATTTATTTCATCTTCACTGTTAACCATTATTTTTTCATTTTGTGTGCGTTTTCTGGTATTGGCAATACAGGAAATAAATGTATCTTGGTTCTAGCCCTATCAAAGTAAGGTGCCTAAGGTTAACTTAGTAACTCTGAAGCCTAGCTAAGCAAACCAAAGAACACCAAAAGAACAATGTTTAAAGGAGAAGAAACAAACATCACACAGGAATCTGCAAATGCCTTCAAACACTGTGCTTCTGGAGAGTGCTGGCACAAGAGAGGGATGGGTCAGTGCTACACAGGCTCAGCTTCTGAGGTGTGTTCCACAATTTGTGTCTTAACAAGGACATGGGTAGCAAACATACAGATGTCTCTTTCTAAACAGCCTTAGCAGGAAAAGATGCTGTACATCTTACTGTTACATCAGGCATGCTGCTTAGTCAAAAATGTAAGAAAACACTTAAATGAGCATTTGCAAAACTGCTGTATAGAGCTCAGAGGAGAAAAAAAAAAAAAAAAAACACAAAAAAACGCATTGTCTTGGCAGAGACAAAGCAGAAAGCTGTCTTGGAAAACAACGCCTCAAGTTCTGCGGCCCTCAACTTCTCCCTTCGGCACGCACGGTAGTTCAGGCCGCTGTAACCAAGGCCTGGCTCTGGCACCCGAGCCCTCCCGGCCCGAATTCATCAGGGCTGGGCCTTGGCAGAAGTCCGAAGGCGGTCATGACCGCCCCGGCTCAGGTAGGCAGCACAGCACCAGGAGTAGCGAAGGGCCGCGCCGGGGCGGGGAGAGGATGGATCCGGCCCCGGTAGGGGCGGCCCCGGGGCCCGCGGCCCCAATGGGCGGGCGGGGAGCGGCGGCGGCGGCGCACGTAGCTCTCCCAAGATGGCGGCCCGTCCGGACCGAGGTGCCAGGGCGGCTGCGGGGCTGGGGGCGGTGGGCAGCCGCTGAGGGAGGCGGCCGGGGACCGGCGGAGCTCGCCTCGCCTCCCCTCCCAGCCGAGTAGGGGGAGCTTTCCGCGCGGCCGCCGGGCTTCACCATGCTGCGGGGTTAGAGCCGCGGAGACGCCGCAGCGGGGTAATAATGTTAGCAGAGGTAAGAGCCCTGCTGGGGCCGGTGGGCTGCGGAGGGGTGGGAGCGGCGCCTCGCCCGGCCGAGCGAGAGGACCTGCGCCGGAGCCCCGCGAGAGGAGGGTCTGCTTTCAGCCGGGGACTCCGAGCTGCCTCGGTAGCAGGCAGCCCGCCCCGCAGCCGTGCAGAGGGCAGCGCCGGGCCCCTGTTATCTCCCTGCTCTTCCCCGTCTTGCGCCCTTCCTCGGCCCGGAGCCGCCAGGGCGAGGCAGGGCGGGAGGGGAGCGCTCTTGCGGTGCACCCGGCCCTCCGTGCTCGCTCCGCTCCGCGCGGCGGCACCGAGAGGCCGGGCCGGGGCGGGCCCTCCCGGTACGAGGCCGCGGGGCCGCTCCTCCGCGGCGGGCGGCGGTTCGGCGAGATACCTGGGCAGGAGGCCTGCCTAGGCCTCGCGACGGAGGGTGTGCCCGGCTGCCGGTTCCCGCTTCAGCCCCGGGCCGAGAGAGCGTGGGGCACAGCGCTGTGAAGCCCTTCTGACCTCCCCCTCGTCAGTGGCTTTGCTTAGTGTTTTCTTTCTTCTTAAAGGGCTTAAGCCAAGCAGTTTTGCCTCTGGTGGGCGTAGGCATTTATAGAAGTGAGCTGCATCTCCCTGAGGGGGTCGGCCCTAAAGCAGTGGGACAGACCCGAGGGGATGAGTCAGATGTGTGTCTGAGGGTCTGTGTGGATTGAGAGAAGCTGACTGTCAGAAAGTGGTCTGGGGGAAGCTTGTGTGGTGTCAGCTGCGGTGGATGGGACTTTCCCCTGTACTTAGTTTTGTCTACACAGACTGATTGATTTTCTATTTTTAATGTGTCAACAAGGTGCCTGGCATACAGACACTTCTTAGACATGGTGATTACGTTACCTGCATTACGTGTTTTCAGTTTATCATTTTATCCAGCACTGAAGGTTATTTGTCCAAAGTTGAATTCTCTTAAGCCCTAAGAGTCTTAAGGGATGAAGACTTGCATTCTGGCACCTGAGAAATTCAGCTTTGCTTTCCTCAATGACAACTAAAAAGGTATACTGACACTTCTAATTTGCGTCAAAGTTTCAGAGCGTTAGACTAGTTATTCTGCAGTGTGCCAAGCTCTGAGATTCCTCCCAGGAGGATAAAATTTGCCTAATGAGTTAAACATGTAAAAATACAGGACTTATTTTTGCGCATAGGATGTTTATCGAGTGGTCAGCATTAATGGTCTGCTTGAAGTGTTGATAGGAATCATGCATTAGCAGTGCTAATTTAGATTATTTTAAGGATAGCATAGAATGTTCTGGGTCATTGCCTCATTTGACTGTTGGTTCTGTTTGGTGGTGATTGTGTGTGCCTTGTTAAATGGCACTGGTATAGCAGCATGGATGATATTTTAGCCATTGACTTTCAGAGATAAAACCTTGAGCTTATGCATATAATAACCAGTGGTAAATAGCCTTGGTATCCATTTGGAGGACTGGATTCTGGTGTCCTTCTAGCTTCCATATATAAACTCATTGTAAACATGATGCTTTGGGATGAAGCATTCCACGCCCGGTATCTGCCAAGAAGACAAAGCTTTAAAATTTTGGGGTGTCCAGCAAAGTTGCAGGCAGGCTTTGATTGGCCAGAACAGCAACTGTGGGGAGGAGTTCTTTAAACAACCAGATGGCTGTGCAGTGGCAAAAGCAATGTTGGCAATTTAAAAATGAACAAGAAAAACCTTCTGACATATGAACTGGAAGGAGTCCTTCTCATCGTGCTTTTTTTTGGCTGTTCCAATTGTGACTTGGAAACAAAATCATCTTGTGAAAATTGTGTACATGCCTGCAAACTGTTTCACACTTCGCAGGAAAGTGCAGATTGCTTCAAGCCTACTAATTCATATACAGTAACTGTGAATTCTTAAATCTCTCTCTCTCTTTTTTTTTTTAAATCACTTTATCAGTGAGAAATTAGGTGGAGTATATGGTGGACTGTCAGGTAACACAATTGTGAGAACTGTGTGTGACTTGAGGCCAGATAAATTTGAATATCTGAATGCAGTACCTCCTAAAATACAGAGACTATGCAACTAACTTTAGGAAGGAGGAACACTGGACAGCCATTAGGTCTGTTTTATTCTTATTTTTTCTCTCTCGAAATATCTAGTTATTTAAAAGTGATACACAGTAAAATATCAGAAAACCTCATTTGTTGAATATTTGTGGACTTTGCTGCCTAAAATGACCAGGGTCATTTCTTTTTCACTTTTTCATTTCTTCACTAGAAACTTGGGAAGAAATCCTGCAGTCAGTGCTAGTTTTATAAAGTAAATATTTAGGAAAAAAAATATTAAGTCTGCATTGTTGAGCCTGAAGAAGAGGCAGAATCTGGTTTTACATGTACTTTTATCACACAGTAAAAATGTAACGTAGTTTCTCAGAATCAGTTTCCTACATCCTTGGACTGTTTCAACATATGCAGATTCCAGCAGATTCAGTCCAGTTCTGATACAATTGGGATATAATCAGTAATTTCAGGGGAAGATTGCAGTTCCTGTCCAGAAAAAGTACCAGGTTTTGTTTTTTTTTATTTTTGTTTTCATTTTTTTCCCCCTTATGCACATCCTATTTTAGTTGCATCAGAGATCACACTTTTGGGTGCTAGACAAATATATTTATTTACCTACCTGAAGATCACTCCCCAGTTTTTCATCTTTGCCACTGGAACTCAGTTCCACAGTCATATTGAATATATTCTTTCTGTGGCATTCCAAGTGCTTCTGCAGTGGCTGCTTCTCCAGTTAGCTGAAGTGTTGACTTGTTTCCTTCTGCTTGTTCATCAGATGTTGTCTTTGCTTTTCAAGACCCACTGAATCTTGTTTCCATGTGACTTCCAACTTCAGCACTCGGTACTGGTTTTCTTCTCTGATGAAGCCGTGATGGACACAAGTTGCCCTCGTCCAGTTCTTGTGTCTTCAGAGCTGTCTTCACCAATCTTGACTTCTGCGCAGTGACAACTGTCCTGCCCACACCACAGCATGGCAGCTGGTGTTCAACAGTGCTGACTGGTGCTGGTTAATGTTACCTTAAATTCAGACGGGGAAAAACATTAAATTGGATTTCAATGATACTTAGTTCACAAGATGTATTAAAATTAAAAATGGCAACTTGCAACCAAATGGCAGTCAGTATTGCTTCTGGAAGCATAAGCTTTAGAAAAAAAATGAGTAGCGTGTTCCTTCTCCAACTACTTATTAAACTGGCAATTACATCCTTCCAAGTTTGTCATTTAGTTTAATTCTTAGCAAGTGAGTACTGTGTTGTAGTCACTGTCTAGCGACAGTTGAGGAGCTTTTGAAATTTGACCGAGTGGGAAAACTTAGTTTTTGCTTCCTTATCTGCAGCTGAAAATGAGCCCTTCAAAATGAACTCTGAGATGGTGGTATTGTTACTGCAGCCTGATGGATAACTCACTAGCAACAAGTAGTACATTTTCTTTCAGTTAAACTGTATTTTATAAGTAAAAGCTCCAGAGCAAACTTACTCTTGTTAAACTTTGATAACTGCTAAGCCTTGAGAGATGTTTTCAAGGAAAACAACAAGTTAGTCTGACTTATAACAATAAAGATTGACCCAGCAGCTTCTTTTGACTTACTTTAGAATAATAATGAATTTTCCATATGGAAACAGTAGCATATTGTAATGTATATGTTCCTCTAGCCCTGAAAGAGGAAGGATGCAGTGAACTATACTATAACAATGTTAGTAACATTGTTATTTTGTTGTTGTTGTTCTTTGATAAATAGATGTGGAAGGCTGCTCTGATGCTTTGTGTAGCTGAACTATGATTTGCTAGCAGGGGCAACTTGAAGTGTGAAGACAATTAACTGGGACACAGAATTAACTTAGTTTTCTGTCTTTCTGTGAAACTTTTGTGTTGGAGTGCCTGTGGTTTGTGACACAACATCTATTTGGGGGATCAGTTGCAAACCTTCGGGAGGTAAAAATCCTGTCTTCCTCTTTCTTTTTTTTTCTGTAAATGAAATCTTCCCTGTCGCTAATTGTTGTTATGACAGTTATGACAGCTATTTTGATAACTGAATTCTGTGGAGCCTCAGTTAAAATTAGTTCGGGAATGGTAAAGTTGGGAAAACTAACATTATAAAAGGAATGGCTGTTACATGTTCCTAATATTTGTTTTTAAGTGTTTTGTTAACTATTAGGAGAAGATAATATTTAAATTCTCAGGACTGTTCTTATTTAGGTGGCCATAAACTGCTTAGGTTGAATGCAGAGTTGTGCAACAGTTCTAAAATGTCAGCCTGTACAATTCCCCAAAACAGTGTGGTAAAGGAAAAGTGTAAATTTCCTTAGTTCAGTAAAAATAGTAACAGCTTGTCTGGTTAGATAGCTGGAAGAGCTTATATGTTGGTAGTGCTCTCGGGGAATTAACTCTGGTTTAAATGTGTTTGTTCCTTTATCTCCACCCTTACAAAGATGACAAAGCATGTTTTCATTTGAACTAACATTAGGAGTATAGCTATTATTAGAAATGAGAAACAGGCGGTGTAGTGTATAAGTTATTGGTAACACTTGAGAATTAATATTTTGAAGTCCCATTAACACTTTTTTTTTCGCTGTCACTTGGCCGAAAGCATCAAGGCTGAAATAATAGAAAAATCAATTGTAATTGGCACTTCCAGTTACATGAGAGAGAAACTTCAGGAAGCACAAGACATCATGATCTTGGACTTAATTGCTTGTTCTCTCTTTAAAATTAGTATTCCATAAATAATGTTTTTGATTTCTGAATTGGAGGAATGAGACATTATTTCATTATGTAAACATATGGGAATGTTTGACAGGAGCACTCTAACCTTGTTTACATAAGTTCAGTAGTTTCACCTTAAAATGATGACTATGTAATTATGATTATATTTATGAGCATTTATATGCATTTACTTCTAATGTGAGTAAGTGTAGGTGGTGGGTATGTTCAGCTGAGGACTTCCTTTATTACTGTCATTTATTT